AAAAAAAATAAATGAATAAAAATAATAAAAATAAATAAATAAATAAATGAATAAATAATAATAATAATAATTTTAGGATCTCTCTTCCAAAACTAAATGGTATTTCAACCAATCAGAAGGCGCACTAGAACTCAACTAACTGTGCTAACTAATATGTAACTGTGTTACAAAGACGAACTTACCTTAGATGCAGGAGATCCATAGGTGACGGTTGCAATTGCTCTCGTACAACTATCATATAATTGATTTTGCTCTTTATTATTGTTGGTCTATTAAAGAAAAAGTTAACATCAGTTAGTAATCAGGTAAATAACAGCACTCCATCGGCCTTTTACCACACAGTTTTTATATTTCATTGAATCAAGGGCCTTTGGAAGGGAAAGAGCACTCTGGGTCTTGGATTCTATTCTTGGACTCTGTATCACAAACTATATATCAAGCTTTACTCTATATGCAAGTGTCGAAGTTGGAGTAGAGAAAGCTCACTCCATATATGGTATGATCAATTCCATATTTGGATTGTGCAGAAAAGCAGCAAACAAAAAGACCATCGTTTTAAAATGAATTTGACATAAACATTTTTGAAGAAGAAAAGAAAAGAAAAGTAAAAAAGAAAAACTTTGGAAAATTGAGGAAGGATAAGCGGAGGATGCTAACTCGTGGGTCTGCCTCGCAGACAACAGACACAGGGAAATACGACACTCAATGTTTGTAAGTAGAAGTTGTTAGGTCTCTCCCTTAAATTCAGCTGTTTTCCTTGGGCTGTCAGGTTCTCCTCACTTTGCAAAACCTGTCATGCTAAATTCCAATTCGATCTGTGAGTCAGCAGCCTATTTAGACTTCTAAGAGCTTGATATCGTTTTTATTCATGCGTTTCCATATCATATTGGAAACAAGTGAGTCTGCAAGCGAGTGAGTGATATAATATGGAAAATGAGAGAATAAAAAAGATATCAGGCTCTTGACACATAATAATAACGCATTTAGGGTTGATACAAGAACAAAATGCACAGTTTCCAGTTCACTGTGAAGTGATATCGTATCTCTTCACTGATACGGTTTTCATTCATGGCTGATATCGAACCTAAATGTGTAATAAAGTTATCTCATTTTATTTAACAATTATTCGCTGAAGGTGAAGTGAATATCGGGGAATGTTTACCAAGACGTGAGTCTTCGAGCGGTGAGGTAAATATTCTCCGATATTCACTGAGGCTGAGGCAAATAATTGTTTTAGCATAAATGCACAGGTGATTTTTTCAAAAAAAGGGGRAAAAAAGAAGATAAAAGACATTTTTTCCCGGTAACAGCAACGAAGCGGCTGGCCGCCATTTTGGATTTTCGCTGGAGGTGATTATCGTTTGATAGTGTGAGTTTCTCGACCAATCAGCGCGCGAGATTTTTGATAATCACCTGTGTATTTTTACTAAATTGCCATTATCAGTGATGTAATTAGATACATCCAGACCTACCCACGCAGTAAAACCAGAGATGAGATACTCATAACAATTGACTCCAATTAGAATTGCCTGTGGGTGGTAAAAGGTTTCAATTTAAAAAAATGAATTAGAGGAATCAATGGATACTTGAATGAATGGATAGGAGAATGGATGGATGGATGGATGGATGGATGGATGGATGGATGGA